CACAGCAAGGCAGCAGCCAGCCAGCCAAAGGATAAAACCACCTGCTGGTCCAAATACCCAAGAGGCCTGGGGAGATGATCAGGCCTAGGTTTCAGTAATGAGGCAGGGAGTATGTGCTCACTAGTACAAATATAGAGGACATGCAGTCTTGGGTCTGTGTACTTTTAGCTATCTGTATAAAATCAATTTCCATAGTGATCAGACATGCAGAAGAGTAATTTCCTGTAAGGCCTGGGTCCTGGCTCAGTGGAAATGCTCCTGCTTGTCTGTTGTGATTATTTAAGCCACATGACCTCAGAGGAAAAACACGCCCCACCGACTTAGATTCTGAATATCTTGATGTGAAAAAGCCAACTTTCTACTTGACTATGGTCTATGTGTCCAAACCCAGACTTCAGTATTCACCTACACTGCCATCTCAATAGTTATAATTATGATCAAAACACAAAAGCAGCATGCATGTTGTCTTTTTCCCTAAAACATACAGTCTATTTCTTACCTGAAAATTAAACATTTTAATACAGTTTCTCATTATTTCCTTGGGACGTAAGGCCACTTACAGTACTTCATGGTTTTTTGTTTTGTTTCATTAATAGCTGTAGTTAAAGCTTTCTTCTTTCACTTATAATCTTAACATCTTAGTCCATCTTTCCCCCAGATAGAATTAATGTAGTACAGTATCTGCACTGATGTTGGATTTTTTTTTTTTCTTTAACCCTGTGTCTGCACTGACTGGCCAGAATCCTCCTGTAGTTTGCACCATCTGAAAAAACAAAAAACAAAAAACCCTGCCTTACTACAATTGACACCCACTTCACAAAGATATTACAAGAAATGAAGTGATAATGGTTATAAGATGCTTTGAGTCTTTCCAAAAAGGTGATTTGAAAACACATGTTCTTTTCTGCCAAGGAAGTGTTTTTTGCTCCTGGATGCAGTTGAAGGAGGGAGGGGCTCTCTGGCCTTCACACTTACTCCCTCCCAAGTATCTCATGTCTTCAAAAAGGTAATAGAAGGGCTGACAAACAGTCCAGCCACAGCAGGAGCTCGGCTGCCTTCAGCAGGAGGTATGCTGGTGAAAAAGAGAGAGATGGAGTTCTTTGGAGCAAGCTCAGACTCTCTTGCTTCTTTCTGCAGCCTCATCTGCACTGAAATTGGTTTGTCCTGAGGCCTAAATTCAATACAGAGAAAAGCCAGGGCACATAGCTTTGTTGTTGTTGTTGTCAGTTATGAGGCTTGAACTCTGACCCTGGGCCCTGTCCTTGAAGGCTAGTGCTCTACCACTAGAGCCACAGTGCCACTTCTGGTTTTCTGGTTGCTACTTGGAGATAAGAGACTCTAAAAATAAATAAAGAAATGTCACTGGATGCCTGTAGCTCACACTTGTAATCTTAGCTATGCTGGAGGCTGAGACCTGAAGATCTATCACAAGCAAGAAAGTCTATGAGACACTTATCTCCAAACACCACAGTAAGTCAGAAGGAGAGCTGTGGCTCAAGTTGTAGAGGGCTAACTTTGAGCAAAAAAGCTCAGAGACAGCACTCAGGCCCTGAGTTCAAGCCCCAGGACTGACAACTCCCCGAAAAGAGTTTTAATTAAAATTACCAGCAGTATCCACTGCAATCTCCCTGCCTCAAGCCTCTTCCTGTGTTCTTCCTCATCTCTCTACAGTCCTGTCATTCTTCTGCAACCATGCCTTTTTTTTGTTTTTCTTACCACATCCTATCCTGGTAAGGGCTCTACAGAGCTGAACTGTGTTTCCCCACCATGGATCAAAAATGTCTTCCTTCTGTTCTCTTTACCCTTTTTGTGTCTTTCTTCTGTTTCTAGTGGGGATAACAGTGCATTCTCACATGCCACAACCTTCTGTTAGAAGTCTCTCCTGATGTTCCTCATGGTACCCTCCTTTTACCTGTCCCATCTGAAGCCAGTTGTCCGCTTCCACCTGCAGAATCCTAATCCGTACAAGCTGCTGTAGTTCTGACTCTTACATGTCATGTATCTGTCATAAACAGTCACCCCCTGGGATTTTTCATCTCAGCTCTTTGCAGAACTGGGGCATGGTAGTTTACCACACAGAAGTTTGCCTGTTCTTCAACTTTCTCTGGTGAGGACTTTGGACCTCGCTTAAGAACATCCCAGGCCTCTGTTCCCTACCCCCTCTTTCATGCCACTTGGAGAAGTATCCCTGAGCAAATATTCACCAAAGGAAATTTATGTCCGTATCCTCCCTGATACTCACTCTTCCATGGTGATGTACAACAGCTGCTTGCTATCTTTTGTGAAATCACTCAATTAAGCTGGTCGGCAGATGTCTCCTCGTCAGGACATTTAATCCCAGTTCTCTTGACCTGCCTCTTGGATCCTGTGTGTTTTTCCCTTTGATCATCATTCCTTTGCCTTCTAAATCCTGAGAATAGCCTCCTCCTCAAAGGTGTGGAGCCTTTTAGGAGACCTGTTTTCCTGGACTGCCCTATGCAGCTCAGAACCTAGCCCTAGCTCTGCTTTTCCTGGGCATCATTGGGATGGTGACAGAAGCTTTGCCCCCAAGGTTTCAGACAAAGGAATGTCCCTCTCTGGCTAGAAAGGAATTCATTGAAGGGAACTTGATATTGTTTTATTTTTTATTGAACATGTGAGGCTGGCACTAAGACTGATTTTCTGGAAAAAAAAATAATTTGTGTGGAAATCGACACTGCTCAATGGAAGGCCTGTTCTTGTTGGAAAGAAATGTAGATTGGTCCCCACTTACCTGCTGCTGCATGTGCCACTGGGAAGGACAGTTCCTTTAGTGGTGGGATCATGTTTCCAGGGCTGTGAGAAGTATGGCAGCTTGGTACATTCCAGCATGCCTGCCCTGATTGGGGCCTGGGGCCCAATCTCCTCCATGGCTTTCTTCAGTGACTTTTCTCAGTGGCCAGTCAGCCTCACTCTCCTCCTGGCAGATCACTTATGTCTGCTGAGGGAATTTCTGGCCCTTCCCCCAATCAAATCAAGTTCAAGAAAGAACAGTGATTTTCCTGAAGGGAACTGGAGAGAGAGCTATCTCCTCTTATAAGTGCCCTTATCCCCCTCACACATGCATGTGTGTGTGTGCATACAACCATATACACCCTTGAGCAGTACACACAAACACTGCTCTCATAGTTTATAGGGGGGGTTAGCTATCAGCACTGAGACTGACACTGCTACATGACAATAGGTAAATAGTGGGAAGGCCCTATGACACTGGCTTTCAGCTTTCTTCCGAAGCATGTACGGGAGTTCCACTGTTTCAGGGGACTTGGAGAACCTGAAAAGGTAGCCACGATTCCTGTTTGTTCTCCTGTGCTCTCTTACCTTTTACCTCATCATCTGACAGAGGACAGGAGCTGCGTTGGTGAATGCAGGCCCTTTGTTGCCATATTCTCTCCCCCTCTCTCCTGCCTCTTAGTTTTCCTGTTTTAATAGTTGCCTCCTTTTGTATTCTTTGCTTTTGCCTTGCCCAAGTAAGGTGGGGGCACCAGTGCCCAGGGGAGAAAGTCAACCAGCTACCTCCTCACTTTCCCTTACCCTCCCTCCTTGCATGAAGTGGAGGGCTGACTTGGCCTTCCAGCACTTAACATTATAGATAACGCTATCTACAATTCCAAAGGAGAGGGTAGGTATTTTAGAAGGATGCAGAGCTTAACAACTTGGAAATATTTTCTGGCAAAGATGAGTATTCTCACTAAAAGAAAAAGGTTGTATTGAATCAACAGTGAAATGTGGTTTTTTTCATTCAATCAAAATATGTATGTAGAGATTCTTTTGCATGCCATTATATTTGCTACAATTGGATTTCATAGAGCTTCAGCCCTGAGAAGAGATAGTGAAAGTCATGTAATCATATAATTTACAGCCACAGGGTGTGCTGTGACACAGGGTGTGGTGAGTCTCCTTTCAGCCTAGGAGGCCTGGTCAAGGAGGGGTGTTGTATAAGCAAGAGATAGCAGGCATGAGGAAGAATTATGGATGGGTTTGCTTTAAACTGAACTAGCCAAGCAAGCCACCCTAAGGTCCCTCGACCCCAAATGTATTGTTAGTCAATTTAAGGACTGGACAAGTCATCTTGATGGAAGCCAAAGAATTTGATGTGAAGCAACAAGCAATCTTAATACTGAAGTAGATTTAATGAACTAGGCAGTGGAAACTGCACACATTTGTGTACTGGAGCCTCTGTTGTCTGTCCACAAAGGGTATTGCTTTGTTCTTATATCACATCCTTACCATGAAGTTCATATTTTTCCTTGCTGCAGTTTGAATTACACGTTGCCTCTCTGCTGCAAGGAATGTGTCCTAGGGACACCTTGAAGAGGCTTTCCCAACCAGAACATTCCTTTCAAAGTATTGAAAGCACCTATTACCACTGTACTGCTTTGATGTTCCCATATTACCACAAACACTGTAATTGTTACATTAATAATTCTAGATTAAACTGTAAGTATTAAAAAGTGAAAATCTACATTGTTCTCATGTGAAAGCAAACATTATAACTTTGTTTTTTCTTACTTAAAGCCACTAAAAGTAACTAATGACATGTCTGAGATAGCAGAGCATCCCATCAGTCTATGCTAAAACCATTATTTTGTGGCTATAGTACGTGTGCATTGTTTTATCAGTCTATATTATTTTATCCTTTGTATAAATATTAATATATGATCTTTCCAATTATACATACATGTAACCATGGATAATTAGGTTATTTCTTTTTTATATTCAGCAAATATTTTATTTAGAAAACAACACTAACAATACTACCATGCTGTGCCTGTGGCTCATTGATAGGCACATAAAGATCTTGCTATTGGCTGGAGAGAAACTGTACTCTGTGACTGGAATCCCTCTTACACTATAACTCAGAGAGTTGTAATTGATGTTGGAATAGGCTGGAAATAGTTAGATAGAAAAAGTGCTCTGTAACTTTTTTAATTCTTTGGTTTTTTTTTGTTTCATTTTGTTTTGTTCTTTTATTCATAAAGGCAAGAGCTGTCCATTGAAAACATCTTCCAAGATTGGCTTGAGAGTCCCGGAATACCTAAGGTACCTTACGTTCATTGCTCTAGAAGAGTCTGTGGAAAAAAGTAAAATTTGCTGCTTAGCCTGTCAATTATCATGTTGATTTTTTAAAATATGTGTATAAAAAATTAGTGATCTTACTGAGTATTGCTAAGTCAGAAAAAGGCTGGACTCTCTCCCCACCTCTTGATCTCAGCCTGATACTGTGAGGTGTGGGACTGTGGAACTGGAGTAGACATGATGAGAGCTATTACACCGTGTGTTGTGAATTCTTGCAGAGTGTGGTACTGTATATATTTTGGGAGGAGTCACCAGGCAACAGTTTAATACCTGCAGTGAGTGGAACATCTAAACTTTCAGATCTACTCCAAAGCAGTAGTTGCCAAGTAGATGAGCTGGTTGGCCAAGGCTTTCATCTGATTTGTGGTATTCGTGATTCCTTCCCTGATTTACCTAGTGTTCTTGCCACTTAACTTCCCTTCCTTGTGTGTATAAAGATCCTGTTTCAGGCTGGTCTCCACACCTAGATGACTAGGAGCCACTTCTCTGTCCTAGGGACTGAAGCTCATTGTCACTATAGATTTTGTCCTCTTCCCTTTCAGCCAATGGGTAACTGCAAGTAAGAAACCTTTTCTTGGCCATGTCGAGCTCTGTGGGAATGCTGGCCTGGAACTTCTCTTCCCTTCTCTTTCAGTCTTATGCTTCCCAGAGGTATTGGGTAGCCCAGCCTCTTACAAACCTGAATGCTGACACTAATCTGAACCTAGACCTGGGGAGTTTGAGGGTGGCACTCCAGACGGATGGTCAAGGGAACTTTCAGGCCTGGAATTTTTCCAGTCTGGGTGGCCCCCAGAGTAGTTACAGACCAGGCTTGACCATTTTAGTGGGCCTTGGGGGATGTGGGTAGTCTCCCCTGACACCCCCCTCCTCACCAACTACTCCATGGTAGACTCAGGCAAGCAGCCTCTGGAGCCTTCTCGTTTCTGGTTTCATGACTGGTTATATGAGCTTCCCTTTGGGAGTGTCTGAGTGTCAATGAATGTCTGTGACCCATGAAATGAAGGAAAGGGGGGGGGGGTTGTTCTCTGTTACCGTTTCTCATCTTTGTCCTTGCTTGTCACATGGGAAAATGTCACACCAGCCACCACTACTTGTTGTGAAGAAAGAACATTTCCCTTCATTTCAGGAATGCATGGTATCTATTAAACATTATTTGGCCTAGTCTTTCTAGGAGAAAAAAAAAAAAAGAAGGAAACGGGTGTGGCAAGGCAGTACCTGGATCTGAGATAGACAGTGCTTTTGATTCATCCTGTGGTTTCTAAGGTGACTTCCAAACTATATTACTCACTGAGTACCAAAATCTGGGAAAAACAAGCCAAGGTCATGAATGTCCAATCCTGGGCCTTCATGTTTTAGATGGAGATGGGTGTGGCTTCCTCTGTAGCTGTTTGCTTGGTATGCCTATCCAGCCTGTTACAAAGTCCCCACCCCCCCACCCCACCCCACCCCCCCATCGACATTCTTGGTGAGGCCTGGGTACTGGGAAGAGTTGGAAGTTCAAAGAACTGGCTTCCAAATTTCTTAGCCTGGAACAACAAGGCCATTATTTGCATCAGTTCGCCTGGAGGGAAGGAAAAAGAAAGAGCCTTTAATTCTGTGCAGAGAAGCAGACCCATCCCAGACAGCCCAGATGGGTGGTGGCACCAGGGCTGACCCTCTCTCCACCAGCAGGCTCTGTCATTTCTCCTGAAGTCAGGAGGGGTTTTGCCACTAGCCTGAGACTTTTGCTTCTCAGTTAAAGGGTGAAGGATATAAGGAAGGAAGAGACTTGCCTCTGAGCTGTACATTTCCCCACCCTAAGGTCCAGTTGTGTTGGTGACAGCTTTTAGTGTAGACAAGAATCTCTACCATAAACTGACAAAATCTGCTGTCAAAACAGCCAGGTGCAATGAGGCTGACCGGCTGTAAATTGTCTTAAAGACCCAACTGGTATTTCCTTGGGTGTTTAACTGTTCAGTAAAAACAACAGCATCAGACAGCAAAAGACCTTGATTTAGTGCATGGCATTCCATTGGTGGAGGATCAGACGATATCTTTTCATCTCTTATACCCATTCTCTGCCATTATTTATATGGCTGCCGGTGATTTACCTGCTCGCAACTCCTTTTTCACTCCCTGAAAGTTTCTTTTCCTTTCCACTTCAGTGAAAGGCTCTGCAAGGGCCACAGACCCTCTGGTTTCAGGAGCATAGGACTGAATGGGACACCTTGTTCTTTGTCCCCATCATTATAATATAAAGTTACTAGCATGTGCCCTAGAATGACAACCTGAGCACTGAAATTGCTCTCCTGCTCTTTGTTCTCCTTTAAAATTTCTGTCTGCCAGCAACTGAAGTCATTCATGACAAGAGTCACGTTCTTCTGGTAAAGTTTTCATTCCACAGGTTACAGAGGCTTTTTGTCTTCTCTCAGGAAGGCTTGCCTTGTAGTTGGCCCCAATTTTCCTTTTTGGCCATGTTGAATGGAAATTATGCAAAAAAGAAAGAAAGAAAGAAAAAGAAAAAAATAGAAAAGTAGAAATTGCTTCAGCAGCAACAAGAACAAACAAGAGCCATGCAGAGGCAAAAATCAATTGGACCCAACCTCTTTCAAAAACACCTTGTAATTTTAGGCTTTACAAAGAGTCTTGAAATAGATTATGTCCTTCTGATTGTAAAAATATTACATATTTACTTTGAAATATAAATAGAAAAATTTTAAGTGGCCCAGAGATTATATACACACATATGTACGTACGCACACATACACACAACACACACACACACACTTTTAGTCATTATTCCAACTTTCTATAACACATCTTTCTCTGCCTTTTCAAAAGTAAAAAATAATATGCTGTTTCTTGCAACCTCATACAATAGCAAAACCAAACACATAAAAGCCCTCTCTTCAATGTCAGTCCTCTGAGATAACACACAGATCATTGCTACCACACATAGGCCTTTTTAAACAAGATTGGAATATTATTATCCAAACTGAAATTTTCATTTAAGTATGTATCTTATATACTTTTCTCTATTCCTTCCTTAATACAATTGAAGATCAATTATGTTTACCAGTCTCTTGCTTCCTAAGGGGTAGTATCATAGCTAGATTTTCTCAGCCTTCCCTTCCCTCACTTTTGGAATATTATATAGTCATCTCTTGGGATCCACACCTCTTTAGTACGAAAATTGGTGGATGCTCAAATCCCTTATATAAAATGGCATAGTAATTGCATGCAACCTATGCACATCTCCTCTATGAAATCATCTCTAGGTTATTTACCATAACTAATGCAATGTAAATGATATATGAGTAGTAGTCACCCTGTACTTTTTAGAAAGTAATAAGCACAAAAGTTTCTGTTCAATGTAGTTACCACTTTTCCTTCCTTCTTTCCTTCCTTCCTTCCTTCCTTCCTTCTTTCCTTCCTTCCTTCCTTGCTTCCTTCCTCTCTTTCTCTTTCTCTTTTTTTCATTCTTTCTTTTTTTTGTCAGTTGTGGGGAATGAACTCAGGGCCTGGGCACTGCCCCTAGCTTTTGTGCTCAAGGCTAGTGCTCTAACACTTTGAGCCACAGCTCTACTTCCAGTTTTCTGATGGTTAATTTGGAGATAAGAGTCTCATGGACTTTCCTGCCTTTTTGGCTTTGAATTGTGATCCTCAGATCTCAGCCTCCTGAGTACCTAGGATTATAGGCGTGAGCCACCAGCACCTGGTTTCTTTTCTTTTCTTCTTAGTATTTTTAATCCAGCATTGGTTGAATGTGTGAATGTGGAACCCATAAATATGGAGAGCTGACTTTATATTATGTCTAAGAACACATTGTGCTAGTTTGTCAGTTCTTTAGATTTGTATTTCTTTTCTTGTCTGCCCAAACAAAAGTTGCTTGTGTTTTAATCTTCTTTGAAAATACTTATATGAAAATACACTAGAGATAACATTTCTTCATTCAGCCTTTCTTTAGTATTCCATGTTGGGTTTTTTGTTGTTGTAGTTTGTTTTGTTTTGGTTTTATTGGTCATGGAGCTTGAACGCAGGGTCTGTGCATTGTAGCACGATGGGTGTATGATTGCCCCCATGTCCATGTGCTCAACAATCATAAAGTCAACCAACTATGGAACAAAATAGTTTTAAGAAGAAATTGCTTCTGTACTAAACATGTACTTTTTTCCTGTCATTCTTAAGCAGTACAGCATGACATGGTATTACATTAGATTAGGAATTCTATTTAATCTAGAGGTGATCCAAAGCAAACAGGAGGATGTGCCTAGGTTATGTAAATGCTATACCATTTTATATAAGGATCTTGAATACACTCAGAATTTGATATCCATAGAGATTCCTGCAATAAATCCCCCATAGATACTGAGACCTATGTTTACTAATAGCCTAAATTATTAAAGTTAATTTAAGTTGTTAGCTCTTACTTTTTGAATTTGGCAACTAGACTGAGCCTGGTGGTGCAAACCTGTATTCTAGCCTTCAGGAAGCTGAACAGGAGGATTATGAGGTTGAGGCTAGCATAGGCTACGAAGCAAAATCTTGTCTCAAAATACCAAAAATGAAAACGTTGAAGCTAAAAAATTTAAAGTGAAACTAGGAGCTGGTAGCTCTGCCTATAATCCTAAACTCAGAACTCGAAGATATGAGAATTATGGCTCAAAGATATCCCAGGCAGGAAAGTCTATGAGATCCTTATCTCCAGTTAACTATGAAAAAGCCAGAATTGGAGCTGTGACTCAAGTGATAGAGCACTAGCCTTGGTCAAAAAAGGTCAGAAACTGCCCAGGACCTGACTTCAAGTGTGTACGTGCATGTGCACATGCATGCACGTACACACACACACACACACACAAAGTTATAGTAACACAGGTATTTTTTTATTGAATGAAAGCTTCTCTGGAGCTGTTGATTGGATTAATATTTGAGGCACAATGACTTAAAATCATCCATTGAATAGATCAGATTGAAATTATCTATAG